ACCTTACTACCAAGAAAGAAGAGCCAGGAGTAGAGTGCATCTTTTGGCCTAGGTAGGGTCCCTGTGCTGAGAACCTCCTAGACCCGGGAGACAGAGTTGTAACACTGGAGACGGCAGCTTCAGAGAAACGGCAGCAGGGAGACCAGCACAAGATGGCATGGTGGGCTTCTCAGCCTGTGGAGCAAGGCAGTTATAGTGGGTGTGCTGACCCACAGAGTGAGAGAGCTGAGAACCTTCGGGCAGGAGACTTCCTGGTGGAGTAGGGTGCCTCTAGGAACCTATCAGAGGAGTTAAAAAGCTTTGTAACACTTGACTAAGTAGGACAGAGGCCAGGCCCAGGGGCCTAGGGGCCAAGGGAGAGGCCTGCCTATGGGGACTGCCAAAAAGCTGTCCTGACCAAAGAACTGTAACATTTGTTCCTGATCCTGGATTGTAACCTGTTACTTCCCGAATAGACCCCATAATCATGAGTACTGTGTGAGTTCTGTGTGGCTATTGCAACAAATTATTGAACCCAGAGGTGAAATACAGAGTGCTGTGGGTGGGACAACTGGTGTCAGAATTTGTGAAAAGGTCAGAGGGTGGAGGTATGTCTGACCTACACCTCATAGGAATCAGCCTTGGGCTGTTGATCTTTTTTTTTAAAATATTGTATTTTTGGTGAAAGTTTGCACAGGAAATTAGGTTCTCTATAACAGTTTCTATACGTATTGTTTAGTGACATTGGTTACAGTCTTCACAGTGTATCGGCATTCTCATCATTTCCACTTTGGTTGTTCCATTTCCATTAATCTAGCTTCCCTGTCCCCCTCCTCTTTGGTCTAGGGTAAATGTTAACCATTTGGTTTCATCTAGACAATTATTTTCAGGAGCACAGTACTCGTGGGTGATAATTATTTTACGGACCATATGGACCAGTCTGTCATTTGGCTGAAAGGTGACCTCTGGGAGTGGTTTGAGTTCCAAGTTTAAAGAATATCTTAGGGTGATAGTCTTGGGGGTTCATCTAGTCTCTACTGGTCCAGTAAGTCTGACCTTTTTATAGGAATTTGAATTTTGTTCTACATTTTTCTCTTATCCAGGACAATATTTTGAGTCCCTGGTCTGTGGTGGTACCCAGGCATCATATAGTTCTTCTGGTCTCAAGGTAGATGATGTCATCGTTCGTGTACACTATTGGTTCTGTAGACCAGTTTCTTCCTTGAGTCTTTGGTTCCCTTCTCTTTAGTTCTGGATGAGTATAGACCAATAGTTGTGTCTTAGATGGCTTCTTGCAAGCTTTTAAGACCCCAGGCGCCCTGGAGTAAAGAATGAAGAACACCAAAGACACAAGGAAAGTATTAGCCCAAGAGACAGAAAGGACCACATAAACCAGAGACTTCATCAGCCTGAGACCAGACGAACTAGATGGTGCCCGGCTACCACCAGTGACCACCCTGACAGGGAACACAACAGAGAGTCCCGGATGGAGCAGGAGAAGGGTGGGGTGCAGAACTCAAATTCTAGTAAGAAGACCAGACTTAATGGTCTGACTGAGACTGGAGGAACCCTGGAAAGCATGGCCCCCCAGATTCTCTGTCAGCCCAGAACTAAAACAATTTCCAAGGCCAACTCTTCAGACAGGGATTGGACAAAAGTTTGGGTATTAAAGTGATACTCATGAGGAGTGTGCCTCTTAGCTCAAGTAGATACAAGAGACTAAATGGGCAGCTTCTGTCCGGAGGTGAGATGGGAAGGCAGAGAGAGGGTTAGGAGCTGGTTGAATGGACATGGGGAATCAGGGGTGGAAGGGAGGAGTATGCTGTCACAGCGTGGGGAGAGCAGTTAGGGTTATGTAACAATGTGTGTGTAAATTTTTCTATGGGAGACTAACTTGAAATGTAAACTTCATTTAAACTAGAACAATACACACACACAAAAAAAAGACCTCAGGTGCTACTCACCAAACTAGAATATAGAACATTGTCTTTATGGACTGTATTATAACAGTTGACTGGGTTGCTCCATGAGACTATGGTCCTAAGGCCTCAAACCCTGTAGACCAATCCCATGGGGTGTTTGGTTGTGTCTAGGAAGTATCCATAATTGCTGGGCTGTTGATCTTGATTCTCCCCCTGCCCCTCCCCCATGAAGTTAGAGAAGGATAAACGCCGTCCACTCTGCCATTTTTACAGTAGGTTATGAAAATTACATTTTGGAAACGTTTGATTGACTGAAATGTGTTTTGGCCTTCCTGCCATCTTTAGTGACTCTTATTAAGGAAAAATAAAAATGACAAACTTAAATTGTTTTTAAATTGGTGTATAGCAAGAGGGCCAATTCTATCAAATACTTTATGGCCTAGAATAAGTTAGTTACCTAAATGTTTTGAATTTTAAAGCAGCTATTGAGAGTAGGCAAATTAAAGGTAATTCCTTTGAATTACAGGATATTTTAAACAAAAATCTTTAGAGAAAATGAATACATCTGAAGAATTCAGAAATTAGAGGAGAAAAAGACTAGTTTTTCTGACAAGTTCGAAAATTTTAGTTTTAAATTAATTGTACTTTTACATTTTATTCTCAGGATGATGCCAATAATGATCCACAGTGGTCTGAGGAACAGCTAATTGCTGCAAAATTTTGCTTTGCTGGACTTGTTATAGGCCAAACTGAAGTGGACATCATGAGTCATGCCACGCAGACTGTTTTTGAAATACTGGAGAAATCCTGGTTGCTCCAGAATTGTACATTGGTTGATATGAAGGTACAAGTAAAACAGAGATTTGAAAGTAAAGATTATAACTGAGAAATGTCTTTATTAGTGTAGTTTTTTTTTAAAAAATTTCTTTGGTGATATGCTGTTTTAGATTGAATTTGGTGTTGATGTAACCACCAAAGAAATTGTTCTTGCTGATGTTATTGATAATGATTCTTGGAGACTCTGGCCATCAGGAGATCGAAGCCAACAGAAAGACAAACAGGTGACACTTCAGGTTTTTTGCCTTCGTGAGATCAGCCTGGGATAGAGGAGAAAGATGGAATGGGAGGAAAAGTGAAGGCAATTATTATTCCCTACGATAAGAACCTGATTTATTGATTACTATTTATTTTTAAAGATAAATATCTGTTATATCCTGGGGAAGAAAGATAGGAATAATTTTATAATTACAAAACATATTTCTTATTTATTATCTTAATACACTCTCATAACAATAACAGAGCAACTATTATCCTTGTTTTGCTCATTGAAAACTGAGGTACCTCTGAGAGAATCAGTATCTTCACAATTACGAGAGGGTTAGACCTAGGACTTAGCCCAAGACATCTAGCTTTTATTAGGTTCCATTTCTGTTCTTATAAAGAACAATAAAGCAAGACTCTGTCTATACTTAACATATAAGAATTCCCAGGAGAGTTAATTGTAATTGCTAGTGTGAAAAGCAATCACAGTTAAATGAAAATACATGTATATCTCACTATCTGAAGTTTCTTTAGCCTAATTCAGGAAATGAATTTGTAGATTCAGATACATGTTCACATATCTGATGTTAGATATCTAAATTCTTGATAATCTGTACCCAAAAGTCAGAAACCAGATAGGTTCAGATAGCAGGAGATAGTTGTATTCTAAACCTTCTGTCTTATTTTCTAGTCATATCGTGACCTCAAAGAAGTAACTCCTGAAGGGCTGCAGATGGTAAAGAAAAATTTCGAGTGGGTTGCAGAAAGAGTAGAGGTAAACTTTTTGTAGCAATCCATATAGTATTCTGTTTTTCTTCTAGGAAAATCTTCTGTTTCAGAAAAAAAATGTAGGTGGATATAGTGCTTTTCTTTTTTTCAATGACATGAAAAAAAGGAGCACTTTTAAGAAATGTACCAGCTGGACTGTTGTCTCTGGTATACCAGAACTCCCTGCTCTTAAGCCAGCCAATAAACCTTCCCAGATCTTGTTGGGGAAACCTGGAATCTTTGTTTCCTCCCTGTCTCTGCTGGAACATACCTTAAAGTTCTCACCAGTCTCTCTGCTGCTACTCAGAGTTCCAGTAGCATGGGATGGATTCGTCAGGTTCAGAATTGCAACTCCATTTGACTTTAAAATGCCACTTCAAAGTTTATGGTGCTATCATTACTGTAATTCCATGGAAGTTGAATGAGAGTTGTTATCCAGGTGTCATAACCACCTTTTTAGATCATTATTTCCATGGGAATATGCATTTTGAGTTTTAAGCAGTTAACTTAAAAAGATTTGTAACATGACTTCTCTAATTTGGCTGAATATGCCTTAAAACCTCCACTGAGACATCTGCTTTAAAACTCTATGAACAGAAAAGGAGAGACAGACAACACCTGGCAGACGCAGGAGGTTTTGTTATCATTTATTTGTAAAGTTAAAAATGAGTGATTAAAAAGTAAAAACCGCTGTACAATTTTAAAACAAAACAAAACAAAAACAAAAAACCCCTCCACTAAGCAGAATGTACTAAAGATCATAGGATGAAATTATTTATAGTTTTCTGAATATTAATTTAAAAGTTTGAGTATTTATCCTTGCTATATCAGAAAGCAATTTATCTAATTAAAAAACTTACTCTTTAGGTCTTAATTATGAAGACCAGTTTCCGCATATATAGAGACTGCTTTTTAAAATAAATCCTATATTTGTTCTATTTGTCTCTGACTTAAGTTTGGTCTGTTAAGAAAGAAAATATTCTGTTCAGATGTAATTTTACTATAAACTATAGCTCCGTAAACTGGCTATTATTATGGTACTCGTTCCTGTGTTTATCCATCTTTGTCTTTATCTTCTTTTTCATGTCCATATTTTTCTTTTCCAGTTGCTTCTGAAATCAGAAAGTCAGTGCAGGGTTGTAGTATTGATGGGCTCAACCTCTGATCTTGGTCACTGTGAAAAAATCAAGAAGGCTTGTGGAAATTTTGGCATTCCATGTGAACTTCGGGTAACATCTGCCCATAAGGGACCAGATGAAACTCTGAGGATTAAAGCTGAGTACGAAGGTAAACTTCAGAGAACTAGAGCATTTTCAGACAAATAATGCTGAAAAGGAGCTTTACCACATTTCCGAAGGAGAAAAATGTGATATGTTAGGCCTTCACGGTCCCTCTAAAGAGTTTAAAGTGCTCTATAGGAGCTTGTAAAAGAAAGGAGTAGAGAGAAAGAATTGAAAATTCAAGCAAGGAAGGAAATTAAAGACTAGATTTATGAGGACCTCTTGCATCTTTACCTGTTTCTAATATGCTCCAAGAGAAAGTAGGCCCCATGTCAGTTATGGTAAGCCTGAGGCCAACACAGCCTGTCCTGGGAGGCAGTCAAACATGAAATGAAGGAATAGTTTCAGAATATAGTGCATAAAAGAAATGTCTTGAATGGGATAGTATTGATCTAAAATAATGGTAGCCTGGAGAGACAACCAAAATCTTCATGTGCTTCTCTCAACTGGAAAAAATGTTCAGTGAGTATACTCTCTAAAGGTAATGGCTATGGAAGAGTAGTTATTAATTTGGAGGAGGGGAAGGTCTCAGGCCCCTCTGATAACCTAATGAAAGCTAGAACTCTTCCACCAGAAAAATGCAAATACATAAAATTTTGGACTCCGGATTAAGAATTTCTGCTATAGGAAACAAAGGATTAATTTATAAATTGTATGAAAGAATGAATTGTTTAAGAGATATGTTAGAAAATATATCAGGAAGTCTTAAATGCTTAGGTACTATATTATTAAATTTACCTTTAACTGCTGTTTCAAGAAGTACTCCTAAGCCTCTATTAACTGGGTCTCCCTGTATCTTGTTGGTTGAAGGACAACGCAGCTGGAAAGACACCTGCTCAGGTGGCGTCATTCTTCATTCAAGCCATTCCCTCGCCAACACCCTGGCATCTCATTCATACTGTAGATCTTGAAGATGGCAAAACCTATTATAGTTATTTTGTTATTTAAGTGGCAGAATGGACCTTATATGTTAAATATGTATGTAATGATGTCTGTTTATGCTTTTTCCAGAGACTACTACCAAAGGAACGCAAGGAGTTAAGGCACATAGGCCTGTTTGTTTATTTTTTTTAAATAACATATCTTTAAATCTCTTCTGAAGTTGTAGCATAATTATAAACTTGTCATTTTCTTAGGGGATGGCATTCCTACTGTATTTGTGGCAGTAGCAGGCAGAAGCAATGGTTTGGGACCAGTGATGTCTGGTAACACTGCATATCCAGTTATCAGCTGTCCTCCCCTCACACCAGACTGGGGGGCTCAGGATGTATGGTCTTCTCTTCGACTACCCAGTGGTAGGTTGTATTGAATTTTTTACAACTGTTCATTACAAAACAACAAATATCCACACAGTGGTAGAGAGACTGGTGTAATGAAGTCCAATGTACTAATTACCCACCTTCAGCAATTAACAAATGACCTATTTTGTTGCATCTGTAGCTCCTTCCTGCTAGATTATTTTGAAGCATATCCTAGACATCATATCATTTCGTCCTTAAGTAGTTAATTATGCATCTCTAAGTGATAAGGACTCTGTTTTTAAATCATAATCATGATTCCATTTTCACACCTAAGAAAACAGTAATTTCTTAAAATCATCTAATCTCCAGTTAATGCTCAAATTTTCTTTTTACAATTGGTTGGTTCAAATCAGGATCCAACACAGTCCTTCTATTGCATTTAGTTGATATGTCTCTTAAGTGTCTTAATCTGTAACAATTTTCCCTCCCTTTTTTTGTCCTATAAATTTCCAACGTTTGGATTTGGCCAATTACATTCCTGGATGATGTTTAATGTTTTTCTACTCCCTATATTTTCTATAAATTGGTGGTAATAACTGTAGTTAGAGCAGATTCAGATTTTATTTTACTTTTTTTTTTTGGCAAGAAAACATCATTCATGGCATTGAAAGTGAATGCAATTATATTACTTTTGTAGAGAAAATAATTTTAAAAAAACTGGGGACCAAAGTAAATGACACACAAGGAAGTCTTATCAGTTGGCTGATTGAGCAAGATCTCCTAGCATAATAGAACTGTAGTATGTTCATCGTAGCCCAAGATATAATCTGATTTTTTGCAAGTCATGAGAGTCAGTATCATTTCAGTAAGAGTTTTTTTTTGTTTTGTTTTTTTTATTGTACTTCAGGTGAAAGCTTACAGAACAAACAGTTTCTCATGAAACAGTAGTACACATATTGTTTTATGACATTGGTGAACAACCCCACAACATGTAAACCCCCTCCCTTCTCGACCCTTTCCTTTTTGGTGAAAATACACATAGCCAAAGATACACCATTTCAAAAATTTCTACATGCACAGTTCAGTAACATCGACTATGCTCTTCCAAGTGTGCTGCTACTCTCACTTTAGATGAAGGCTTACAGAACAAAATAGTTTCTCATTAGTTACTACACACGTTGCCCTATGACAATGGTTAACAACCTCACAACACATCAACACTATCCTTATTCAACCTCGGGTTCCCTATCACCAGCTTTCCTGTCCCCCTCTGCCTTCTGGCCCTTGTCCCTGGACTGCTGTACCTCATTAGTCCCATTTGGTTTTATGGGGCTGTCCACTTCCTGGCTGAATGGTGAACCTCGGAAATGACTTCACCACTGAGCTAAAAGGGTGTCTGGGGGCCACACTCTCGGGGTTTCTCCAGTCTTCTTTAGGCCAGTAAATCTGGTCTTTTCCTTGTAAGTTAAAATTTTGTTCTACATCATTTCAGTAAGAGTTATTTAAAAAAAAAAAAAGTTGTTTTATTTGCTTATTTCTTTATACCAATTAAACCCCAAACTTACCTCATACTTTTGTAAACTAGCTCTTGATATCTGTCACGTACATTAATTACTTGAGCCCTCTGACCTGTTTCCTGTTCTGAAGTCCTGGGATGGGGCAAAAGTTAAGTGCTCGGCTACTGGCTGAAAGGTTGGCAGTTCAAAGCTGCCCAGAGGCAATTTGGAAGACATCCCTGGTGATCTGCTTCCAAAAGGTCCCAGCCTTGAAAACCTTATGGAGCACGGTTCAGTTCTGTAACTCATGGGGTCGCCATGAGTTGGAATTGACTCAACAGCAACTAACAACAGCAGCAGCTGACTTGTTCCGATCTGGACTGACTTCTCTAGGACTACTGCACCACTGTTGTTTTGGAATCTCCCTACACTATTATCCTGGAGATTCATTTTACTTTTCCCTAAATCTTGACTCTGTTTCCTAGGTCAGTGTCTTCCCTTTTCTTGGTTTATTTTGTTGAAGCGTATCTCTTTGTTAACTGCCTGAGAAAAGGGTACATAGAAGGTAAAATCATTGACACCTTGTATATCTAAAACTGGTTTTATTTGTAGGTTGAAAATCAGATTTTTGAGTACCTTACTCCCTGTTTTCTAGCTGGGAACTCCAATGCCTTTCTGATTCTAGGTCCTTTGTGAGTCTTGTTTTTTATATAAGTAAGGTCATACAGTATTTGTCTTATTGTGATTGACTTATCTCACTCAGCATAATGTCTTCAAGCTGAGTTGGGGAAGCCGGTGATCTCAGTATGTGCATAAACTTGATCCCCTCAACCCTGCCTGGTGTCCCCCTAGTCCAGAGACTCTCTGTTCTACCATCTTCCAAAAAACTGAGAACTCTGCCAGGATGAGGAAGGGGTAGTTGCTCAAGTAGATAGAGTTGAAAGGGATCTGAGGGCCTATTTCTTAGTTCTCTTTTTAGCCCCATTTTTATCCCCTGCCCTTTCCCTTATCTTCAAAGATGTTTAGTGCTACTAATTCCTCAACCTTCTGGTGGTTCTTTAATATAATATAAATCAGGTTGTTTCTCATCTCTCCCCACTTCTCCCAGTTTAGGATTAAGTTTTCTCGAATCTGCTAAATTAGTTCCACTCCATTGCTTTTCAGCTGCCAAGGTGTTATTGCTATTATCTCTTTGTCCTGGTGGCTTTATGCCTATATTTATTCCCTGTGCTGTTGTTTTAATAGGGTTTCAGAGATAAATCTTGAGCTCAATCCATCTTTAACTAGGCATCTGATTATATCAACTTTTCAAGTTAAAAATCTACTCGAGCTAATAAATGAATCTGTAACCACATTTATGCCAGAGGAATAGTATATGTATTATCCGTGGAACTTAGAAAAAGGGAAATGTGGTAAGCAGAAATTTGGCAGTGTTTATCTAGTTTTGTCCAAGAAGGAGAGACAGGGAATGTGGTGGAAGATTTGGTCAGTAGAGT